GTAAGAGGCTGCTCCTGTGTCCGTGGCACTGGGGACTGATCCTGCACCGTGGGCGTGCTTTGACCTGGGAAACTGTTGGGAGTCGAAGTGACCTGCTTTTAGGGTGTCCCATGTATACCCTGGGCAAGGCAGAGGAGGGGATCTGGCTTGTACAAATGGGTGCTCCTGGGTGCAAAGTGGGGCTGTGCTTTCAATGTGGAAACTGAGGTGCTTTGGAAAATCTGGGCTTTGCCCCCTCCAGCTGGGCCATCAAAAGTCTTAAGGAATTACTTAGAGCTTCTCCACTCCCCGTCTGTAAAATGGGCCTCTGGTGCCTCTGGGCAGCTCGGAGACACGCGCTGAATGTGAGCAACGGTTTGCACAGTGAGTGGAGGCCACGGTGCTGAGGAGCCTAGAAAAGCTCAGGAGGACATAAATAATTCTGTCTTCTGAGCAGCGTGTGAGTAGCATGCTGTAAATAAGGCAAAAGGCTGCTCCGCCAGCAGCGGGGATAAAACAAAATAGCAAGCAGCTGATCCATACGTGAGCACCGGGCTCCTTTGCAGGGGATGCAGCGGCAGCCTTGGGGAGAAAAGGGGACTCCTGTAAATAAAGCATGCGTTGTCGCCTGTGTGTGTGTGCACGAGGCTGCCGGGGACAGCAGCAGAAGCCAGTTGATAAAACAGGGCAAAACTCATACTGTTTTCAACCTTGTCGTGCTCTCAGACATACATCTGCCCGATGGTAAAGCCACGAGTGCCGTGCTGGGATTTGCTCCTCCTGTTACAGCCTTAACTTGAGCGACGCGAGGCTTTTGCCATCTCTGTGTGTGCTGGGAGGAAGGGCTGCAGCCGGAGCTGCTGAGCTCTGGTGAGGTGCCCATCCCCGGAGCAGGGTGGCTACTAAACAGATGCTTCGGTTCATGTTTTAAAAGCAAAGGGCTGGATAGTTTGGTTTTTTTTTTTACTTGCTTGCAGCTGTGCCATCTGAGCAAGGGAAATCAATGGAGTGTTCAGGCTTACTCGAGTGGGTGAGGTCGAGCGGTGAGGGTACCTGCCCAGATGCTCCCCACTCCCCTCCCGAAGAGGGGGAGATGCCCCAAGCAAGGGGAGATGCCAGCTGGGGTGTGGCGGGGCTTTCAGCTGCACTGGGGGGTCCTCTCCTGCTGCAACACGCTGTTCCAGAGCAAGGATTAAAAACCCCTAAGATATTGACATATTTAATATGCTCTCCTGACTCGTCACGTTCAGAGGAATTGTTTACCTCTGCTAATGAGACCCAGCTTCCTGCTGGGGGATGCGGCTGCCTCTTAGTGCAGCTTTACAGTGGTGCCTGATGGAAAAGGGAGAAAAATCCCCATCGGCTGAAGCGCTGGGGGCTCGGAGTACGTTTCCTGCGCTGAGGCAACATATTGTGTTGCAGTATGGTCCTACTGCCAGTGTGGTCATACAGATGGCTTAATAGGACGGGCCTGAAAAGACTATCGCAGAGGTCCCTTTTCACCTCTCGTCTGTCTGAAGGAGGGTGCAGCGACTCAGTGGGCTCGGGTGGGGAATTGGCTCGAGATGGTGGCAGAAAGCTCCCCGACAAACCCGCCTTGCTGCTCAGAGTGGCTCCGTATGAGCAGGAGTCTGCGTGCGTGGAGCCATTCTGGCAAGACTGCTCTTGCCATGTGGCTTCCTTTCCTTGCGTGCGGTAGCCATCGGGGCTGCCAAAGCCCTCGAGGTGGTGTAAGATGAATCTCCACTGAGTATTTGCTGCTTGAGCCGTCCCCAGCGTGGCCACAGTCGCCAGCTTCACCCTGAGGGCTATGGATGATGCTCCTATCAAGGCTTTCCTTGGAGGCTTCCTGAAGCATTGGCGAAGTTACACCAGGGAAGGACTCTGTGACCAAAGTGCAATAAGAAAACACTACCCAGATCAGTAAAGGGTGGCCAGGATGGGAGGTGGCACAGGTTTCCCAGGAGCAGTGAGGGAAGCAGCAGAGTCTGACAAGCGTGATCCCCTTCCCAGTGTCCCGTCTGGAGGGACAGGGCTGGCCAGGCACGTCCCTGGCAAGGGATCTGGCGGGTCAAGAGTAGGGAGACGTGGAGCCAAAACTCGGTCTGTCTCCCATATGCTCGTCTTGGAGACCAGGGAATGGAGGTGCACAATCCCTGATGGCTCCTGTACATCCCAACCTGTAAACACACTCGGCTCAGCAGGTGGCAAGCCCAAAGATGCCTTTAACCACCCCGATGCTCTGGAGCGGCACACGGCTCGAGCTGCGTGGTTGTAACAGGGCAAATGCAAAAATAACCTCTAAGTGACAGTGCTGAAAGGTGGGGGAGAGCCTCAAAAGCCACCGAGTGAGTCACGCCACTATGGCTTCCTCTGCTAAAATGAAGTGTTCCTTTTTGGTTTTAGGTTTATTGAATTGTCCTTCCTCCACGGGATGCTCAATGCATTTTCTGCTGGTGGGGTGGTTTGAAGTCAGCTGGGAGGGCAGGGGGGAGCGGAAACAGATGGTCATACTTTGGCTGCTCCATTGGTCCTGGGAAGATCAGTTATAGCACTCTTGAAACAATTCCAGGTATTATTTTTGAATCTGGTTTCCTCCTCCAAGCCGGGTGTCCTCCAAAGAATCTGTCCAAAGTCTCAAGATACTTACGTCTTCAATCTAAAAGTCAGAATGCATTAGCCAGGGAAACTTGGTCTCAGTGAGCTTAAAATAAACCAGTTCACTTTGAGTCTCACGCTATCAAATCAGTCGTGAGTGTCCTCATGGCAACTAGACGTTGCAGGTTTCCAGCTCTCCAGCATGCTCTTTTGGTTGCTCATTTCTTGAGTGTGCACCAAAGAGCACCACAACCTCGCTTAGCCCCAGCTCAGCCCAAAGGGGCAAATCCCTGGGGGAGAACTGCAAAAGCCTCGTTGAGGACAAGTTGGTCTAATAAATGGCATCATAGCAAGATTGTGCCTCCGTGGGGCAAATCATAGAATGGTTTGGGTTGGAAGGGATCTTTAAAGGTCATCTAATCCAACCCCTCTGCAATAAGCAGGGACATCTTCACCTCGATCAGGTCGCTCAGAGCCC